AGATATTTTATAAGTAATTGGCAAACATTCATATACATATATACATATATTTATATTTAATTGTTTGCAGAACATGAAAACCGCTTTGTTTCACTTCTGCACTTGTGCTCTTTTTACCCAAGTTATATATAATTTATAGCTTACTATCAACGTGGCTGTCTCTCACTCACTCACTCTCTCGCCCTCTCTCCTGCTGATTTAATGATGCCTACTACCGGAAAGCTTTTTCTATTGGAAAAGCATTTTTCATGTCAGACAACTGGCCAATCCAATTAAACAAAAACTGCCCAACTGCCAACAGTTTTCTCACTCTTGCGCCTCTAAATCAACTGTTTCGCTTTCTTCTCTCTCTCTCGCTCTCTCTCTCTCTCTCTCTCTCTCTCTCTCGCAGCTGGTGCTTTTTGTATGTTATAAGTCATTAACTTTCTAAATAATCGCCGCAGCGTGTCAACTTTGGTCGTTAAACTTTCATCAGTCGAGGACGTAACGGTAACTGCTGGGATGCTGGATTGAGGATTGGGAATCCCAAAAAAAAAGAGTGTGATAGAGAGAAAGAGGGAGCAAAGACAGAGAGAGAGATGAGAAAAAATTAAGCTCTCTGGACACGCGACAACGTCGCAAAAACCGGAGCAAAATTTATAGCAAGATATTATTTTCCGCTCGATGAGCAGACAAGTCGTAGGGCGACTTTTGGCACTCTCTGTGCCAGAGCCCTGCCCGCCTCCATCTGGAACCTGTGGCCGTGTTTCTCGGTGTCGGTGCGTAACTGAGCACGAAAATAAAAAATAAAAAAAAATACTGCGGCACATTGTGCCATAAATGAAGACATTATAAACGATGCTGCAGCACGACCCACCTCAACCACCCGAGACCACGCTCAATCTGACTGTGTGTGTGTGTGTGTGTGTGTGTGGGTGGTGGTATATGTGCGAGTGTGCGTGGGTATGTGTGTAAGTAAGTGAGCCCAAGATTAACGGTAGACATTGTAAGACACTTAAAGCTGTTGAAGATTTTTGAGTCGCTTTGTGGTTGGGGGTTCAATGAACTATATGATGACGCGCCTCATATGATATATTACAGCTTCCCAAATGTGCCAGCGAGCGCACATAGCCTAGAAATATATACCCATATATATATGTATGTATTTATATACATATATATGTGTGTGTGTGGGTTTCCGTTGGCAATTTACGATGCCTCGGGCTAAGAGCAGGTGGTGGCCGGGCAATAAATGTATTATATGAAGATAAAACTGTTTGAGGAAATGGCATACACACATAAACTGAAACAGCCAGCAGCTGCCTCTCTAGGTGATTCTCAGTATTATCAACTGCTATGTTGTAGCCCCTAAAACATTTATAGCTCGCAAATGACTAAACAAAGACTAAAGGTCAGTTAAATGTATACGAAAATATTATAAATATTTGGGTATTATATTATAGAGTTCTCTTGTTTTTAGTAGCAGTAGTGTTACTATATAAACTCTACTCATTAAACTCTTAATGACATCTTCAACATATTAAGTTTCTTATCCTGCAGAATCTTTGTGACATACTCTCTTAGATAATTAATTCTATGATACTTATTTAGTCCACAAAATTTTGCTGAATATTTTCAAGTTCTTTTAACTTTGCGGATGGAATTCTTGAAGTTTCAAATGCAATTTCGGCTTGTCAATTAATTAATCTGGTACAATGCAAAAGCCGCAATCTGCCCGCTTCCTTGCCGGCAGCCGCAGCCCTTTGTGCCACGCCCTTGCGTTGCCTTCGATTCCAGCACTTAAACTTTCAGTGGAAAAGGTCATTTTCGTGCACTTTGTCCCTCATCAAGGGCGCTGCTTGGCTGCCTCTTGCGGCGAGTGCTTGCTGGAGACCGCAGCATTTAACGCTTGAAAGGACAGCGCCAGGACTGTTACGCACAAACAGGCAAGACACACACACACACACGCACACACTAGGCACACCTTTTGTGCAATTGGTTAAAAAGCATTTTATGCGCATTTAGGCCCATAAATTACGCATTTCACAATGAAATAATCAAAATGTAAACGCAGTTGCATTGAATTTGCTGAAATATCTGCTGCCCCTCTTCTCCCCTGTGTTCGTCCCTTTGCCCCATCCCTGGCCTGGCTTGCTTTGAGTTGATTGTTTTTGGCCACGGCGGGCGGGAATGAATGCCAGTCACATTATTTCCATAAATTTGCGTTCGTTTCCGTTTCCGGCGCACTTCAAACGTTTACGCGCTTTATAACCAGCTGGACGCAGTCACACGCACACTCGCCGAATAACTGTAAAACGTACCTCAAAGCCGCGAAATATATTTGCCAATGATTTACGGCCGCTAAACGTTCTATTTATGTGTTTATGTCATTTAAATGGGCCTGCCGCAAGTTTTGGTCCTGTCTAAGTTTTTGCCGGTCTCGTCCAACATTTGATTTGTTTATTATGCAAATTTCGCACTTGCCAATTGTTGTTTTTATTTTCATTTTGCATTACTTTCGTTCTATTATACCCCCCCCTCTCACTCACTCCCTTCGCGTCTGGGCGCAAACATTAAACTGCAAATTACCATTTATGCAATTCATGCGGAAATACAAACAAAAGTCAATTTTATGGGGCGAAATTGTTGTTGCTCTCGGCGTTGTTGTTGTCATTTACTTTTCTTCTGTTTTTTTATTTTTTATTTTTGGCAAGCCCACAATATACGGCTGCCAAAGGAAGCAGAGTGGGTGGGGCTTTCATTTTTTAAGTGTTCCCTTTATTATTATATCAGCTGCCGGGACAATTTTTTTTTTTTATATGCGTTAATAAATTTTTATGCAATATTACACAATTTGGCTGGGACGAGAGGGTGGCGAAATCATCATCGTTTAAATGGCATATCAAAAATGAAATTATTTTTGTGAAATAATTTGTCGCGTGACAAACGAGGACAGCGCTCAACAGGCAGGCAGCCACACAGCCAGACAGGCAGCCAAGCGACCGGGACAGACCAGGCCAGGCCAGCCAGACAATGCGTGCCACCTACCATGCGTATACGTAATATTCTGCCAGCAAACTAATGCAAGCGGAAAGTATAGCGAGCAGAGAGTTTGCCCGAAGAGCAGTTCACCTAAAGATGTTGACTTCTCAAAATTGCGGAAAACTTTGATGCATAAATTAAAGCAATTTTCCAAAGCAAGTTTTAAAAGTTTTCTTTATAAAATTAGGCGAAAATTCAACCCAACATATTCATGAACAAATTTTATCATTTTTCTAGCGTTATGGCTAATTTCCCAAGGGATTTCCAGAATCTCTGCAGTTTGAAAAATAAATAATATGCAAAAATAACAAGACATATGTGGGAAGATTTAATGAAGAGTGTGGGAATACAAACTCCTTTCATTGCTCTGAGGAAAATTTAAGTTGATAAAATATAATATTATGAGAAAAATTTAAGCTGATAAGATAATATTTGGTATAGCGACTGCAAGGCTTTCATTTGCACTGATTCATTTCTATATCATATCTTATCGGAAATTAAAAATCTCTAGGTAGGGAATTCCTTTCAAACGTCAACCGAAGAGTTTCCGAGTTTCCGCTTCACGTGGAACTTCTATATATGTACACATATAAATATATATATGCATATATTTACGCAGCTTTTTTACGTAACTGAATATATATAAATATAATTTGCATACTAGTACATAAAAACTTTTCGTCACTCTGCATTTTGGCTGGAATTCAAATTAAATTGTCATTTATATTAAAAGTACATTAACCCACAATATTACCACCGAAAGCAAAAACTTTTGTTTTGCGTACATTTCAAAATACCAAAAATTAAAATAATAAAAAAAAAATATATATATATATATAAATATATAGTCTGTGCCAATTGTTTGTGCTAACTTAAATCGTAATTTCTGACTTAATTTCAGGACTGTGATTTACTTCATGATGTATGAAGTGCAGAGCTCTTGGAGACTTTTGAGGAGCTTTAAAGGGCCACAACATTTTCACATCACGTACGCAACTTTACGACAGCCACTGTGGCCAAAAATGTAAAGAGCAAACGCTAAAGGAAATTTAGAAGAAGGCAGGCAGCAAATAAAGTCGCCAAGCCGTAGACAACAATAAAATTATTCGAAATATATACATATATATATATTTCCTTTGCTTCTGATATTTTAATATGCGGGCAATGCCACTCGAGGAGCCAGGAGCCAGCTAACCAAATGAATGCAGCTCCGCTTCGCATTTGCTGTGCCATTTTATTTGTCACGCGTTTTTATCACTTTGCGTGGAGCGAGTAAAGGCAGCGTATGTGTGAGTGTACAAATATATATATGTATGTGTGTGTGTGTGTGCGTGCGTGTGTGGTCCCAGCATCAGATTATCACATTTGCATACGCCGCTGTTGCTTCGTGACAGGACAGTGCGATGATGATGACGATGACGACGGCAAGGGATATGATATAGGAGTTTCAGTTAAGGGTGTCCTTGTATCTGTGTGTGTGTGTGTGTGTGTTGAAAGGCATATAACCTCATATGCAGACAGAACCAACCTGATGTGTGACATTTGCTGTAAGCGACATTTTACCGTCCAACATGGACTGATCAGGATTGAATTACACCCACAATCCGGGAGTCGGTCACTTTGATTGCAAACGCTGCGAATGGATGCGAATTTCGACTCGCCTAGTGTGTGTGTGTGTGTGTGTGTGGGGGTGTCTGTCTGTGCGCGTGCGTGTGTCTGTTTGGGTTTTTATGACGCAACTTCCGCGCAGCAAAACGTTGACAAATATTTTATTATCACATTTTATGATTTTATGAGTCCCCGGATATGAATCACTGAGTGGTGAGACGTTCGCCACACCGACTTCCCACACACACACACACAGACACAATCACACACTATCACGTAGACACATAACAGTGGATGATGGGCTTAAGCACACAAACACACACACACAATCATACATACATACACACACAAATAGCGAAAGCTTTGCTTACCGTTTTTATCCATTGATTCCAGCAAAATTTAAACTCCTCCCTATCGATAAAGCCATCGCCGTTCTTATCAAAGACAGCGAATATTTGCTCGAGGCGTTCGTGTGGCACATCGTAGATGTGACCCTTGTCATTACGGAACAGAGCACGGCAGATTAGCGTAAACTCAGCCAGACTCAGACGGTCATCGCTACGTGGGGGAGTCGAGTTCCAGCGCAGGTGAATCAGGCATGAAAATAAACGAGAGCACAAGTTAGAGGCGGCTGCCAGATGGAAAATAAATTCAAGTTAGTTTCTAGTAACAAAATCAGATGAGAGCACATTGAGTCAGGCCGTGTTTAGTGGAGGGGCGAGCGCAGGTTCTCTGATGTTTCTATAAGCCTGCTGCTAGTTGCCACTTGGGGTTGTTTGTCATTGTAGCCGGTAGCTGTCAGTTGGTAGCTGAGCTTTAAGTTCCATACAGATTTCACTTATTTATAGCACAGTTTTTGGGGCGCGCCCTCGGCAACAGCAGCTGCTTTCAATTTGTTTTGCGTTTAATTAAGGTAAAATTAATGCGATTACGTTTATTGATTTGCGCTTAAAATGAATGGCGCCATAAAACTGTTGAAAATGTCAATTAGAATTAATTTATGCAACATTTGCATACATTTTTTATTCAACTTTTGCGTACATAAATTAACTTAGATTTCGCCCTCAAATGAATCGAGCGATTTTATTTATTTTCTTCTCTCATTGTTGTTGTTGTTTTCTTTTTTTTTTCATAATTAATAATTAATACCTGTCACGGCCCTTGTTGATGCTGGTAATTCACTTGATTTTATTTATTTATTTTCATGATTCACAATTTTCCAGTTTGCTTTCTTTTTTTCAAGAATTAATATTGATCAGGGCCAAACAGGCACTTAATAATATATATAATATAATATCAGCGCGTATACAGATCCAGATTTTAATCGTCCTCACCATTTTTTATATATTTTTATGTACATTTTAGCATCACTAATTGAATAAAAATTTGTTGTCTGGGAACAGTTTTGGATGCTGTGTATTTTCAATTATCATTAAATGTATACGTAAGGAATGCAAACATTGAATATTGAATGTAAATAAATACTCCTGCAGAGTTTCGCTTAATTAATTCAAACACAATATGCCCATTTCGCACTCGGCGTGGTCCACAGGGTGTACAAAGAGAATTATTGTTAAGAAAAATATTGCATGTGCTTATCACAATTAATAATATTTCAGAACTTTATGCAATTTGATGCAATTTAACTGTTTATTTTTAAGTTAATTAAAGTGCATTAAATAATTATTCGAATGCTTTCACAGGCAGCACGCGAATTGTAATATATTATTAATTAAATTAGTCAATGCATTTGTAAAATGTGTTGAGCCATTTTCCAATGTGTGTTCTGCATTCACATTATTGATGTATTTTATTTAAATTTATTTTTTTCTTTTTTATTAGATTTTCAGTATTTTTTTTTTTTTTTTTTTTTTATTTTTTTTTTTTTTTTTTTTTTTTTTTGGTTTTTTTTTCCC